ACACACACACACACACACACACAGACACATTTTGACTGGTAGCATGAATAGAAATCATCATCTGTACTGCACTGATGCATATTCAGTGTTGGGGAGTAACTAGTTACCTGTAACGACGTTACGTAATTTAATTACAAAATAAAAGTAACTGTAATCAGTTACAGTTACTAAGAAAAAATGTGTAATTAAATTACAGTTACTTATGAAAATGTTAACGATTACAAAGGGGATTACATCAGATCAATCTCAAAGTAAAAGGTGGTACTAAAGTCTGATTTTGTGGTGGATGTGTTCAAATTTGATCATCTTAATTCAAGTGATGAAGGTTTTTGAAAGTCTGACAGTGTTGAGCACTACTGTAAGGTTAACCTTGCATGGTGTAAATGTTTGAAAATGATTAACAGTTGCAAATAAACATTCATTAGAAATTTATAAAAGTAATCAAAAAGTAATCAGAAGTAATCAGTTACATTACTTTAATAAAGTAATTGAAAAAGTTACACTACTATTACATTTTAAATAGGGTAACTTGTAATCTGTAACCTATTACATTTCCAAAGTAACCTTCCCAACACTGTGCATATTTACACATGTTAATTAGCTAAGTCAAGCATCACTATTATTTTTGATCATATGTAGGGTTGGTGATTTTAACAACCCCTAATGCTAAGTATAAAACTTCAGCACATGAAACATTTGTGCAACGGATATGAGTGATACCTCAAATTATGCAGCTTAAGGAGATGTTCTATTATTTTTCTATGAAGTTGGATGTACGATTTTCACCTAATGCATGATAAAACAGGTGAACACCCCCCAAAATATAGACAGACCAGTATATCATAAAGACTTGGAAGCTGCTACGACCTAGCAAACATCCAGACAGCCTAGCATCTCAATAGCAATGAGCTAACAACCTAGAAGACTTTGCAACAACATAGCAACAGCAGAGATGACTTAGGAATCACACAATGCACTAACTACCCCTGAAAACAACTTTGGTTTTGAGCTAACTGCGTAGCAACACCCTATCAACTACCCAGAACACACTAGCGAACAAACAATAATGCTCTTACAACTATATTCAGAAGTCCTTTGTAACTGTATAGTAGTGCCCTAATGACCACGCACAACACCTTAGCAGTTATGTGCAACTGCTATGTACTAAAAACTAGTCAAAATACCTTAAAGTAACTGCATAGCAAAGCCCTGGCAATCACACAGAACACCTTAGCAATCGCATAACAACACATTAACCATTCAAACCCTGTTGAAAAAAACAGCATATGCTGGTTAGGCATGTTTTGACGCTGGGATGCTGGTTTAAGCTGGTCCTTTTGCTGGTTTATGCTGGTCCTGTGCTGGCAAAGGACCAGCATAAATCAGCAAAGGACCAGCTTAAACCAGCAAAGGACAAGTTTAAACCAGCAAAGCACCAGCGTCAAAACATACCTAACCAGCATATGCTGGTTTTTTCATCAAGGAAGCCTTTGCAACCATCTAAACAACCAAGCAAACAAATAGCTAAAAGTGGTAATTATACACGTTTTTCCCCAAACCCCGCCCACAGCCAATTCTAAAGATTTCATTGGTCATGCCAATCACAGTGCTGAATGCCTAACCAACACTGAAACAAATACTAACCCACAACCATTACACCCTAACCCCAGAATAGCATTGTTAGCACATCTCTTCATTGTTAGCATTACTCTGAACTCTGAGCTAAATCGAAGGAATATACCTTGAAAGGTGACTGCACGATTAAGTTGGACAATGAAATTGGCTACAGGACGACGTTTGGAACTGGTTTGGAAGAAGCACATCCATATAGCTGGCAACCGCATAGCAATACACTAAAAGTGTGGTCACATTAGTGAAATTTCGACAAAATTTGTTGTGCAAAAAAGGTCTTAGAACCATATAATAGAACCAAGTAACTTTCTGTTGGACAGCAAGGTGAAGTCGAGTGACCAACTTGAATCAGTTGGGAAATCTGCATGGGGAAATCTTTCTTCCTCACATGAAATTCCCAAACCTGTGGCTTCCAATTAAAAGGTGAAATTTCTTCTGGAAAAATATGACCGCAGATTAACAAACATGTAGCAGAGCATACATAGCAAACACCAACAACAACCTAGCAGTGACTTTGAATGGGAAAGCATTAGTAACAGTTTCTTCAGAAAATGTAAAGGCCTAGTTTATGTACTTAACAGACTCTTTCTTGTCAAGTATGTGCTAATTACCAGAGCAGGTTGCCATGAATTAGTGACAGGAATTCCGGTTCCTTTTAGGGAGCTCAGCTTAGCAATGAGAACCGGTTCTTTTGCCTCCCAAATGGCTCTTTATTTAGCACCACTTCCAGCTTTCATTTAAATTATTCAAAGTAATTATACAAAACCTTTCCAAAATACCACAATTGTACATTATTTGTGGTATAAAAACCATAAATTATGTAAAAATATCAAACACTATTACAGAATGTTACAGTGAACGATCAAAACACAAACCATTCCAAACGAACACAGTGTGCCATATTACAAATAAAACTCATAGAGCCGACTCATTCACCACAAAATCAATGCCACAATGCAACAGCATGAAGCATGGACAGGCTGTTTGTTCATAATTGAAGCAGCAACTTTAAAGTGCTTGTTTTGTATGGAGTTCCATTTGTGCCAAAAGAATGTTGACTGCTTTGTACAATACATTTGTTTACTGTACATAATGAGTTTTCTATAACATTTAGATGCATTTATCATTGTGTGCTCTACACCTTATGTAGCTCCGTCCTTTCAACACTGCACTCGTCTTCTGTCTTCCAGTTCGAATTTCTACTGCATGAAGGTAAGATCCTATGGATTTATGAATGAACTGCTCTTTTAAAATGTTCCCGGTCCACTGACATTTGTTACGACATCCGCTTTGAACATTACAATGCACATGATAACTTTCGATAACTCTAAAATAAGTAAATAACATTCATGTCATAGAAATATAGAAAGCTACTGCAAGATGGCTGTTCACTTGTTTCTCTGACTCATAAGGTCTATAAACTTGAATGAATCTGTAGTCCTTAGGTTTCATCTTAAGGCTTGTTCACACCGGGACGAATATCGCGCACGATTATCGCCGACGTTTAACGCCTCGTGACTAAACAAAGGGCGCCAATGTGAGTGTGCAAAACGCGAGGCGTAAAAGCGTCATTTTTTAAAAACCGCCTCGGGCTCGTTTTTTTGGTTTGACGCACCGCATTAAAAACTGGCCGACCAATGAGATTGGCGCTTTTGTTCACGTGCCTGGAGCTGCTGAAGTTACAGTAAAACACGACTTGGTGGCGCTCAAGCACAAAACGGTCTTTCTGAGCACACATTGATACCTAACGATGAAGAGGAAGTAAGTAGACCAAGAAGATGCATCGAAGCAAGATGAATGTAGAGCTGCTGGTCTCATTAGTGTCTGAACACAAAGGGCTTTATGACAAGCGCGACAGCGACTACAAAAATCTCGATAAGAGGGAGTTGTTATGGAGAGGAATTGCAGATCAAATAGGATTCGATGTGTACCGGGGTATTTCTGTTTTTCATTAAGCGCCATCTAATGTCAGGGAGTGAATTTGCACGTTCACTCGGCTCATCGCCTGCGAAAATCACTTGGGTATGAACACAAAAGACGCGTCGAAAAACGTCGGCGATAAGCGCGCGCGATAAACGTGTGTACGAGGCTTTAGGTTTCAACCAAGATGGTGAGAAAAATCTAAACGTTCTGTTGTTTACCATGATATCTAAAATGTGTTGCAGAATGTTCACTGAGAGCAGCAATTGCATAAAATTGAGCTGAACGCATAACAGAGAGAACAACTCAAGCAGACAACACAATTTTTGGCACAAATGGTACACCATAGTTTATGTGCTAAAGTCACATAAAATGTGCCTCTTTAAATGATTATTCATGACACTCTAAATCTGAAAGTGCTATTGTGAAATACATTGGACTCAAAATGAGCCCTTTTGCACTTGGCAGATTCAAAA